TGCACATGCAGAAACATAAACAACATGGTTACACAACACTCAAACACACATACTAAGCACATAAATGACTGTGAGGATAAGAATATCTTTCCATGAGAAAAACAGTTTGTACTTTTGACACTGACTGATTTTAATGTTGTAAAGAAAGTTTCATAAATTCACTTTTACATCTTGAAAACCCTCTCCTCCTCCTCTTAGACAGGGGGTTAATGGGCGTCCCTACAGTGGAGCTACTGTACCAGAGGAATCAGGTTTCTGCAGATCCGCCATGTCATCCTGATCAATAAGAGGGGATATACATATCACAATGTCAAATATCTGAAATGATCCATTTTGTTGATGGAGCATAAGGATCAAAATACAGAATCTGTCTCTGTTTCTGTGGGCAAAGGAGAAAGATGGGCCGGTCAGCACAAGAAACTCTTCACATCCCACTGAATAATGTTTTGCTGCCTTTTAAAGGTCCAGTGTATAGGACTTAGGGGGATATATTACTGACACGGAATATAATATAATCAGTATGTTTTCATAAGTGTATAATCACCTGAAAATAAGAATCGAAGTTAGCAGCTCCTCCGCGATGAGATCGTCAAAATAACACCGCTGCTTTATTTAATGTTTTACCTGTTTTAAATACCTTTAGTTTTCTCTTTAACTATGACAGTTAAGGCCTAAATTTTCTTTGATTGAGGGACTTACACAGTTACACAGAATCCCTTAGTTAAGGAAACACTTATTGCGTTGAAAGAAATTTTACAGTGGTAAAAGTTTCCATGGAGATTGTTTGTTTGCTTGGACTCATGCCTGCTATGTCTGTTATCATCTCAGTGGGTTGGCTTATAGTTAGATAGTGAAAAAAATGGCAGAAGAAAAGAAGACTGGTCAGAGGAGGAAAAGATTATACTTCCGGAGGAATACAGTCATAGAAAGCACATACTACAAATTTGTCCCCAAATGCCAGAAAACAGTCAGACAGTCAGATCAATAGTGTAAAATCAAAAGCATATCCACTTGCAGTTAAGATAGAGTCAGAGGTACTTCAAGTTTTGTTTTAGATTGCCACCATGCTTTGGTTGTTAAGGTATTCTGTGCAACTGTCCCTTAATTCCTTAAGTTTAAGACCAACAGAAGGAGAAAGCCATAATTACTTAAGTGAACATTTTAGGAAAACTGTAAGGAGAAGACTTAAGGGTGCTTTGTGCAACCAATTTGATTTTGAGGAAACCGAGGGTGTTAAGAAAATTAAACCTGCTAAAAACCTCCTGAACAATGAACACATAAGGAATTCTAACCGGGAGAAGTTTCAGCTGGTTGCTATTTGCAATCATTCCCACTAGATGGCACTAAATTCTGCCAAAAATCCTACACACTGGACATTTAGGATGACAGAGCCCTGTGGAATTTTCTTGTGAACAGGCAAGAAACGCCAAAAGTTACTGTGTATAAGTTGTAAAAGCATTGCTCTATAGTACTATTAGTGGTCAAAACTTTAACTTAACTTTAAGTTACCGTTACATCACAATGCTGGAGATTAAATAAAGTTATGGTTTTTCAAATCACAAGAAAGTCTCAAGTCTTGACACTGAAGTCCTGAGTCAAGTCCCAAGTCTACATTTTTTGTTACAAGTATTAAACAAGTAGTATTTGTCTGTCTGTGGGTTTACACTGCCAAACTGCAACTTTCCCTCAGGCTATTGCAACATAATGAAAAGGACTGATTACCTGCACATCTTTTTCTAACATAATTTTTAATCTTCAGCTAGGTTGGGATATCAAGTCATTCCAAATCAAATGGCTAAAGCACAAATCACTGGTATTAAATTGGAAATAGACAAGTTTTTGCTTCAACATAAATACATGTTGATTGCACAGTGTAATGGCTATAGAATACTAACACCATCTGCGCTTAGATTGGTTCCCTATGAGCCTTGTTTTCACTGTGCAATGCTGTCTGCCACTTGATATGATATCCCAGGAATGTGAAGGCTCTTTTTACAGCACAAATGAAGTGCAAGAACCACTGTGAAACCAAAAACAGGAAGTGGACGCTTTTCTTTTTCCCCGGTAACTATAGGTAAGTATCTCCAGGTCTGTTGCCAAGGATTGTCTGTGTAAGTTCTTTGCCGTTTCTATCCCCAGTAGCAAAAATGGTGGACGGAGGAACAACCAAAGTGACTGTGGAAGCTGAAAGTGATACGGTTGTCTTTGCGAAAGCAGCAGCAATAAAACGACTCGGAAACACAAGAGGGTAAAATTAAGAAGCCGTCCATTCCACTTTAAAGTGTCATTTGTTTTTGTGAAGTCAAGCCTAAGGTCATGTGACTCAAGCCCACGGCTCTGTAAGCAGCACAAAAGATTTAAGACTAAACACACACTGTGTGGGTGAGCCCAAAACATCCTGCAGGGCCTGTAAAAACATCTGCCCCTCACAGAAAAGATGGAATTAACTAAAGATGACAAACAAGACAAGATAACAACAAGACGACTCTGATGACTGATGTGCAATCCAAACATTAGCAGGTTTTTAAAGTGCACATCCAAAACAAATCTGTATATAAAAAATCCCACATGGTAAGAAAGGCAACAGTTGCCAAGAACGGACCGTGAAAGTGATCTCCCTGCTCATTTTGTTGCTGAAACTTGATAAGCGAGCAACATGCGCTGTAAAAGAAGATTGTGATCACAGTGCATTCTTGGATATTACTGTTGTTCTACCATCTGGCACTTTTGAGGCAGATTACACCGAAATTCAACAAGGAGAGTGAAAAAAGAACAAGATGAATAAATGAGGAGGGGAATAAATTAAATTGTGTGACTGTGAAAGGGACAGGAGGAAAAGTGCGATTCTGTTTGTGCGTATATGCCTGTGTGTTTTCGACAGATGTAGCAGGAGGCTGGTGATGATTTCTCACCATTCTGTGGGCAGGGTGATGGATTGGTGAGTGATGGGTGCCGAGGGGGGTGAGAAGGGGGGGGGGGGGGGGGGGGGGGGGGGGGGGGGGGGGGGGGGGGGGGGGGGGGGGGGGGGGGGGGCAGGGTTGTGACAGTGGAGGCAGGTACCATTTTCTCAGCAGGAAACCAATTACTTGTGCACCCTGGGTTCATGTTCATGCACAAAGAATCAGCGAAAAATACCTGTTTCAGGTGCAGCCTGAACAAATGAACATCACCGTTTCACAAGCTAACAAGGTTTGACAACACTCCGATTGTTGTCTTTCACAGTGTCTGATAGAGTAGAATAACTCACAGGCTGCAGGCAGACCCACATAATTCAGTCCTTCAATGTCCATTGTACTCACTGAATTCTACACATATACAGCCAGTTAAATGCTGATTAACTTTATATTGTACATGAACTTCTTTACAAAATCCATTCTATTAAACTGGAGCATTAATCTAAGACATCTATAAGAGTCAGACGAGGTTGAATGTGTTTCAGTTGGCTGAGATATCAGTGTATGTTGAGTGCTTTGTGGTCACTTCCTGTCCTAATTGAACGATCTGTCTGTTTGCTCGTAGTTACAAACAACACCAGGCTGCCAAACCAAGACAAAACACACGTGCTGATCTGCTTAACATTCGGCCTGAGCTCTTTGTCCTCGTTGACACAGACACAGTGGCAGGACAGGAAGCAGGGAGGGCCAAAAGTTTGTGCTCTTTTATTGAAATGGAGGTGGAGTTCATTTGTGTAATAAAACAGATATATTCAATTTTGTAATAAGGCTCTTTTCACAGCTTGACAACATTACGAGTCCACACATGATGATGCAGTCATAAGGACTTTATTTTCTAAAAATATTTTGTGAAATGAGCCTTTATCAATCTTTTTAAGGAGAAACATTGCACTTCGCTGAGTCAGAAATGTAACTATTTGTTCCTGTATCCCCACATGGCAACACAGGAACAAAGTTGGTGCCAAACTCTTGGTGTGCCAAATAACAACGGTGCTTTGGCCTTCTCACTCAATGCTTCCCACCAAAAAGTGCACACCTATCCTCACAAAAACAGAAAGAACAACAGGAAGGTACGTGGGTGAGTAGGTAGGCAGGTAAACATTAATGACTCCCTGTTCAGCCAGTGCTTTTTAAGGCCAAAGAGCTCTGGCTCTGATCACAATGGAAACATTAAGTCAAAGCGAGGTGAAGGTTAAACCTCTAGAAATCACCACAAACAGCCTTTTCCATCACACCACTGCAGCCATGACTGCTCTCATGAGACCATGCAAAGCAATGTGATTTTTTTCTACAAATAAACAAAAGAGCCAAACCAAAATGTGTCAACAGAGGAAATCATTTCACTTGTTTCCAAATCGGATCAACTTGTCACATTGTCCTGCTCATGAAGTGACCTGCCTCATCCTGCCTGCTTTCACAACTACATCAAACTTGTACGCAGCAGCATGAAGGAGGGTGGCAGCTGTCCCCCATGTGTCAGGAAATTATACTTTAAAACACTCCAACTCTGATGAGAGGAGCTGCCATGCTTTCTTTGGTTGTGCTCATCCAGTGTGTATAGTATTTGCTCCGGAGCTGTCCGCGGTGCTGAACACCCTTCACCCTGCACAAGCCTTTAACTCGCAGTTAAACCCTCCGCCTCACTACGACCCCTCAGAAACACAGAACTTCACACAGGCGGCTTTATCCTTTAATTTAATCCTTACAACAAACAACTACTTTAATCCTGTAATATATTTAAGACGCTAACTCCCCTCCGAACAGACACAGAAAATGTCACACATAAATCAGTACTGAGACACTACGGCAACAGCACAGGAACATTTACACTGTTTTTTGCTTCAGATATGACTTTATGGGCTGTGTAGACAATGTAACAGTTGATGGAGAAAACTTTAAAAAGAGCTACGTCACTGATAAATAAGTAGGTACGACACTTTAAAGCCACATAATTTATGAATAATTTAAACTTTAGGTGATGTTGTTCGGTTTTTTTTTTTAAACAATGGACCAGACTGAGTAAAAAAAAAGAAAAGTCAAACCTACCTCGTTCAGTTTCTGCTCTTCTTCTTTTTTGTTTTGCTCTGTTTGTTTCGATACAGGATGAAAATGTCCGTCCGTGCTATCGCTCCACTCAACGGGACTGTCCCCGGTACAAACACACCGCCCTCCTCCACCCCGAATGTAAAGCGGAACGGATTAGGAAATCACACACTTCCTGTTCGTGTTTTACAAAATAAAACCATTACAAATAAAGCTCCTTCTTAGGTATAATTAAAACTATTTTAATCCTTTAAGGTAGTTTTGGTCGCCAATCGCCACAGCAGTATGACACACAGTGTAGCACCAGGGCAACAGACCATAGAGCATCTTTGTCAGGACACCCTGAGGTGAACGATGCCTCCATGTTGAGTTTCTCCCTCCACCTGCTTCCATTTCACCATCTATGGTACGCATTATAATGCCAGTTGGCAAAATAAATAAATAAATAAATAAATAAAAAAGAAAAAAAGAAATAGACTAAGGAAACCCAATGTAACGAAATTTTCACCAAAATAAATAAATAAAAAGTAGGTTGTTTAAATTTTTATACAGTACTCATGGGAAATATTCAAAAACCTCTGAGTTTAAAATTCATGCCATTTGAAATTGAAATTGAAATTAAAATAAACTCTTTTCATGAGTCTGTATGTAACATTACTCTCAGAAAACATTGTACCACTGAGCCCATAGCTATGAATGTGTTAAAGTAGGCAAAGTGTAGGCATAATTTAGCAAACTTTACATCAACACTTTATCAAACCAAACAGTGACAGTGAGTTATAGTTCAATGTCTGATCATTTGTTTTACATATAAATGCCTGTTTTCAGTGTGGTGTGTGCCTGTCTTCACATAGGCCTACTTTATGTTGTCACCGTTTGTTGTGCTGCTGCTGGGTTGCTGGCAGCTTGTTGTCTTCTTCACTATTAATTTCTGATGGATCCTCACTAACTTCTGCTGGGAGTGCTAATTTTACTCTCATCTTATTTAAAGAGTAGAGGGAGAATAATATTGCATTCATTCTGTACATGGAAGAAAAGAGTGTGTAAAATATAAGCATACAGTCGCTCTGCAGACAGGGCTAACAAAATGCACCGTGAAAGTAGACTATACAGTGTTATAGCCTGAACTTCATTGAAACTAACATGATTAAATGGGTTAATTTGTGGAGATGAAAACAATGACTGTTAACCATTTGAACAGTATTCAAACCCAAACACAATACTAAAAACTGACATGGTGGAAATCAGTAAACATAATGTGTTGCTTCAAGACAACATTTGCATTTTAACAATTTCCCATTTAGCTACTTAATTACCAAATAAAGAACATTAAACTATTAAAAACAAACTTTCCTCATTTATTATTGTGAATACAATTTTTGTCCAGATTGTAAAATGACAGAGTCAACCACTATTGGTTTCCTGAGGGACCTGGCTCTTTTTTAAAGTACTGCAACATAATTGAGGATGTGTGAGTGTAAATGGCCAAAAATGGGTATGTTACCCAGAGGCAACACTGTACCATAGAGGCTTAAATGTCAGTCAACCAGCCTTAACTGGAAGTTAACTCGACTTAACAACCCTCCTTGAATACATTTTCAATAAGCTTGCATTTAGAAATAAAAACTAAATGAAAACAACCCAACAGCTCTCAAACATCTGGGGATGTTCACACCACTGTCCCTCAACAACAACAGTTCCTACTACTCAGTTGGTTATGATTAATATTTGATATTCTATTCAAAACTTAATTAAATTATGAATATTATTATCATTATTATTTAATTAAGTCATTTTTTTAGCGTAAGAAAAATTGTGTCGCTTTTACTTTGACAGTTGAGCCATCTAACTTCCTGTCTCACTGTGTTATATTGATGCTGCTCACAAAATGGCCGCGCCTTCTGATGTAACAGGGAGTGGATAAAAGGTTGTTTCATAAAGTGTCTTACAAAAGTGAGTGAGCGGGGATTACGTCTAATACAATTTCAAAACTTTATACAAAGGAAGTCAAGTACATTTTGCCTATTAATGTGTCTCAAGAATTTTACAAAGATGGCCCATTCGTTTTAATAATATTGTAGAATAGGTGGCCACAAGATATTCAGCCTTTCTGTCCCATATGAATTGTTTTTTCTTTCTTTTCTTTTTTTTTTTGGTCACAACCATAAATGGAGATTGTTCCTAAGGCAGATGGAAATCTTCAGGTGTTAAAAAAGTGGCACTTTTAATTAAAAATATTAAATACAAAAATGTAAATAAGGCTGCTTTAGGACAGAGATTATTAAAGAGATAAAACAAATCTGGGGTTCCACATTAAAACTCAGTGTGAGACACAGAGACAGAGAGTCAGACTGTGCGCAGTGCTCCTTCATTTTATCCAATCCTTCCTCTTTACATCTTTGACCTTTTTCCATTTGTGCACAAAATAACCTGTTGGTTCCCTTCAAAGGGCATAAGATAAGCAGGTAATATCTGACCTATGCTGATGTCTTCTTGAACTCACACAACCACACATGCACATGCACATGCACAAACCACCATCACTTAATAGTTCTCACTTCCAGCACAGGCACTGACCCACTGATGGTGTTTGGCATTTTAAAAAGATGTGTGGTGAGAGTGTGCTATCATCTTTGTCTTTTCTCTCCTTGTTTTAATTCAGTTCAATCCAATAAATTCTCCATTAGTAGCCTTCAAGTGCTGCATAAATACTCAACCATTAACACCTCAAGAAAAGAAAACATGGGTAAACAGGGTTTCTAATAGAGACATAATAATCTCAGACCCTAAATGCATCGCATGCTCAGCTCACAGCACTACAAATACTGCGTGGCAATATAAAGCATGTTAACATATTTACTTATATCCATCCTAGTGTATGCAGGCATATGTGCACATACTGTACATGTACAAGTGTGTGCACAGTTCCCTGACAGAAAGACTCTTTGAGATTCTCTTCAGTGAATAAAACATTTGGCCCTGGAGTCCCTCACTTTACATATTCAAATATATTATAATGTTCTTTGCAACGCCACAAGGCACACGTGAACACTGACTACTTCCAAAGAAGAAAGCTAAAACAGAATGACATGCCATGTGCTGCTCACTTGTCACATCAACTGTTAGGCTGTCTTCACTTAAAGCATATCAACTTTAAAGGGACAGTTCACCCCAAAATTGAACATTTGTATTTGTCCTCTTACCTGTAGTGCTATTTATCAATCTAGATTGTTTGGTGTCAGGTGCTGAGTGTTGGAGATATTGACTGTAGAAATGTCTGTCTCTTCTCCAATATAATGGAACGAGATGGCACTCAGCTTGTGGTGCTCAAAGCGCCAAAAAACAAAAGAAATTTGAAAAACTCCTCAGTAATGTCTCATTACAGAAATCATGACCTGGTTACTCAAGATAATCACAGACCTTGTTGTGAGCAATTTCATGAAGGAACTTTTTTTTCTACCAAATGAAACCCGACAACCATATCACTGTGCAGAAGGAAACTGGAAAGTCAAACCCACACCTTCAAAGTCATAACCCTGCCTTTACTTTTAAAGCCAGAGGGTTCTGTAATGTAATGCTTGCTGAAGTTTATTCAGTGCAGATGTGTCCAGGGTCACTCAAGTCCTCATGTTAGCCGCTGTGGTCAGCAGCCTCTGTGCAACAAGAGCATTGGAAAAACATTGTTTTTTTTTAAACATGAAACTGCTTTTTTAAAAATGTTTTACCGGTTTAAATCAGTGGATCTGTTTGTTTCGGAGAAGATGGCACCTCTGTGGATAATTCAGCTCCTGATAAAAACCTCCTAAGTGTCTGGATCTTACGTTATCAGAGAAAAAAGGTGAGCACTGATTAGCAGGTTCTGGGCTAACAGTCTGTTTGGCATATCGGAGAAACACTGATTTGTACCCTAAACTGCTTTATTCAGTGTTTTTACCAGTTTAAATCACTGGGTCCATTTGTTTTGGAGAGTAGGAGACTTCTGAGGATTATTCGGCTCCTGGTAAAAACCTTGTGGATCGGAAATAAGGCGAGGACACATTAGCAGGTGCTGGGCAAGCAGCCTGCCTGAGACATGCCAAACAGCATTAGAGAAACACTGATTTGTAACATGAAACTGCTTTAGTCTTTGTTTTTACTGTTTTTTTATCACCCAGTCTTTGTTTTTGGAGAGTAGGAGACCTCTGTGGATAAGTCAGCTTGCAGTAAAAACCTCCTGAACAATGAACACTGAAGGAATCCTAACCAGGACAAGTTTCAGGTGGTTGCAATCTGCAATCCTCACCACTAGATGCCACTAAATCCCCCTAAATCTTACACACTGGACCTTTAAAGCATTGCTGAAAATCACTTCAACAACAGCCTTTTGGACTTTAAGTAGCAGAATAATTTTATAAAATCAATTCATTGTATCTTCTTGGATGGTTAGCCAGAAACATCGACATTTTAAGCAGCTGTCTTTACCACAGGATTTCTTTAAATGATTTGTACCTTCAGTTAAATGTGCTGATACCAAAAGTCCACATCTTGCAGAAGGGAACAGTAACAGCCAGTTAAAAAAAAAGATGATCCTTGGACAAAAGGTCAAAGGTCAGAGACACAGTGCCTTAATTATTTCTGTTACTCTGGAAGGATAATGTCAGAGAGGTCATGTAAGACCTAGATATAGTGATGGAGAGCTATAGGGTAGATGAACAGCTGATATCCTCTCACCCCCCTCCACTCTGTCTCTGCTGCCCTACAAAACCAACATTACACAGACATTTCTTTCTAACAGCAGAACATCCAGTCAGACTCTCAGGTCTGATAAGAAACGTCAGATCTGATCTTCACAGGTGATGGATGAGCCTTTTCCACGTGTGGCTCAGATCATTACCAGCCCATCGGAGAAACCATTAAAGACCTCCCTCCCCAAATTGATGATCCGATGTGCTTCAGTCCGAGCACAATGAATCTCTCTGTATTGCCATTGATTAAAGCACAACTGATTTCTTTCCTCGGGTGTTGTGCTTTCAAACGTGCAAATTTATTCGCAACACAGTACATCCAGTAAAAAAGACATTCATCTGAGAGCAGTTTCTTTTATGTGTCACAGATGGTAAGGCTGTACAATTCTGCTTTTATGTAGACCTTGA